GAAGTTTCCTTTCATCGCTCTTCATTCACAAATCCATCATACACAAACAGGAAAGACGTACATACTTCCAGAATTTTCTTCACAATTCTAACGCATTCATTGCTGCGTGCAGAAATTCTTGAACGCTTTTTATAATCCACAATAATTCAGATAACAAAGAGAGAACAAAAAAGCAAGAAAGCAACAGAGATTAAATGATAAGTTTGAAAACAGTGCTCCATTTTATTCCCCTTTCTTTTTCTCTCTATTTCTACCTGATCACAATAGGTGTCTTTTTAATATGAAACATAGAAAAATACCTTACTCCTATCATATACTCTCTTCACCTTATCAGAAACATAAACTCTATACATTCAACAAAACAATAATAAATCATTTGTACAAGCTGTTTCAAAGAAATGTTAAGACTTGCGTGGAGAATATGTACATGCGTATATTTGCTCTTCTTTCCTTTTGCAAGAGAAAAGAAAAGAAAACAGAATAGACTCCATAGTACAGAATCTTTGCCAATTAAGGTGAAATCACCTTTTCACTCTGATTTTATCCACCAATTATAGAACACAACACTACACCACGGAGTCTATTTATACAAAAACATAAGAATGGACATTTTTTTTAATTGTGTCACTATAAATCTCAAACAGTGACATTATACATTCATGACAAACAAATAAAACAATAAAACTGAAACGACGATATTTTGTTATCAGATCTGCTCCTCTGAAAACAATTACTTCCACATAAGGGTTAACATTTCTTTCACGCGCCCTGTACATTAAGAGTGTCTATAAATGAAGGTAACAATTGAAACGACGCAGCAGTGAATGCACAATTAACGCGTTTCTTGTGTAGAAAGGTCAAACGGACCCTACGTTCTATTAAGCATAAATAAATAGCTCGAAATACTTGTTTCGGTAAAGTAAATGCCGCTCGATTCTTCACCGAGGTACTCTAAGCCCTTTAAGCTCTATACAGTCGTGTTTGCTTTATTTTTACTCGCACGCGTACATACGCAATCTACGGGCGCAGCATCTCTTTTTTCCCTTTCTTTCTCTTTTAAATCGTGCTCGAGTATCACGAAAATACATCACTTTGTCTCGCTTTACAATTGGTAAAGAAAATATGGGTACTCTAGCGCTATCGAAGACGAATCGCATCTTGTTTTATTAATACAGATACACAGGGTGGTCAGAATATTGTTTGATAACTTTTATAAACTATTTTCGACATTATAAAATTGGTAGAATATTTAAAAAACAAAAGATTGAGTGAGTTAGTAATTCGTTGTGGAGGATATTGAAATTGTTGTTGAGAAATTAAGAGATTTTAAAATATTTGAAAATTTATAAATTTGACGATTGATAGAATTTTTATGGAATTTTGATTTCAGCTCGTCGAAAAATTGATCGACCATCCTGTTACCTTGTAGAATCGAAAGCAACGCTTCAGTTACAATTTCTTAAGTATCCTCGTCACTTTTGCTCGTCATGTTCGATCGTGAAAAATATATAATCGAGTTTATTGCGAACGATGTTCTTACTGTAGACTCTCTGAAGCGTTCTAATAGGAATATCCTCGGAAATATCGTACAAGGAAGAGTCCATCCGTGCACCGAATCTATAACGATCGTTTCTCGTGTAATTTCTTAAGTACGAAAATGCCGGGAAAAAACCGGTTCCTCTCAACAGAATACTTTATACAAAATTTAAATACGTTCTGTCGACTGAGCCGCGAGTGGAAACATCCACGATGGAATGTTCATCGATTGTATAGGTTATAATCTAAGAATTAAGGGGAAAGATTGGCTAATTCAGGAATATCCTGCATCCTTGAGATCTTCGTGGACGTTGATACTGTTGTAGCTGGTTTCAGTAGGTTTGTTAGACCTTGGTTTGTTCAGGAATGCAGAATTTGTAGAGCTTCGACTAGTGTGACAATGTGCAGTTGCCTGGTCGAAGGGAGCATTGCTTCATGGTGATGCAAGTGGAATGCTCCGTTAGTAGTCAGACGCTCGAGTAACGACGATACCTTGAGAGGGAGATCTTTTATGGTTTTCGGAGAGTAAAATTTGGAGGTTTGGGAGTAATGTAATTTGGGAATTTGAGGATTTAGGAATTTGGAAATTTGGGAATTTAGAAATTCGGTATTTGAAAAATTGGAATACTTGGAAGTTTAGAGATTTGCTAGCTTGGAACTTTGGAAATTGGAGATTTTTAATATTTGAAAATGTGGAATTTTTAATATTTCGAAATCTAAAATTTGAGATATTTGAAAATTTGGAATTTTTAATATTTGGAAATTTAGAATTAATATCAAAAAATTGGAAATATAAAATTTTAAGAATGTTGAAAGTTGAAAATTCGGAATTACGAAAAATTGAAAATTTGGAGACTTAGAAACTCCCAAATTGATTCCATTTCCAAGCCAAGAATCTGCAAACTTTTCAAGTCCACTGTTCCAACTATTTTCTTTGCATTATCTCGAAAAAGCAAAGAAAAAAGGGGAAAAAACTCTCGAGATATCGTCATCGAGTAAGTCGATTGTTCATGAGTCACGCAGCGTTATCACGATAACGAGGCTAATCAGGGCAAGTCGAAGGAACTATGCGATTTGAATGTGGCTTCATGTTCCGTGGAAACACGCGACTATCGTTCGCTTATTATAAGCAGCACGACACTGGAACGCCAGTTGACTCTCGACACTAACAGAAGCAGGGTCGCTCGTGAACTGGTTCTTGGGCTCGTCTCGTAAATACGTTCACTAGTTGGCAGTGTACCCTGTCAATAAATTACATCATGTAAATTATGTAATTCCATCCTATCCAACTCTTAATAAATTTCAACCAAAGTACTAATTAAAATTTATTTAAAAAAACAGCAATTAACGCTGTTTGGTAAAAATATTTTTCGAAATCTCTCGGAAACTTTGATAATAGACAAAAATAATTCCTGTGAACATATTCAAAATTACTTTGAACAAGTGCCCATATTTGTATATTACTTCGATTGAAATTTATTAGAAATTATAGAAATCCTTAAGAATTATTCCTCCCAATATTTTTCAAATCACTTTTCCAAATTAAAGTTCGATTACGAATATTTTTAAAATTATGATACCTTAATGAAGATACTTAAATTTGCAGTTTTTCATATATATCCATCTTTTTCGATTTTTTTCAAATCGTATACACACAGGGTGTACCACGCAACTGTCGCCACGATTTTTTAGGCACTTTCGATATTCTGTCAAAACATGTTTTCAACAAAAGTTAATCAGCTTTCCATCGGCTACAAATTGCAATACAAGAAATTTCCAGAAAATTGTTTTTTCGATAAAAAGTCAAAGTCATTTACACAAGGTATGTTTATTTCTGTACGCTGTTTATGCTCCTTTTGTAATGTCCGTATGATTAACATTTTTCTTGTTGAAGCTCACCATTTTGAAATGTGTAGTTTGATCGAAATAAAGTCATTTTTAACGATAACATTTATTTTAATTAAGCCGACATTTCAAGATTCAGGATCATTTTAGGGTCATAGTATTGTAGGTCGTTCAACTCGTCTTAACATCAGCTACAACGGTATGAAGTCAAAAATACGTAGTGTCAAGGTCACTTTGACTTTTTATCCAAAAAACAATTTTTAAGAAATACCTTGTATTGCAATTTGTAGCCGATTGGAAGCTGATTAACTTTTATTGGAAGCCTTTTTTTTGTCAGACTATCGGGAGAGCCTGAAAAAGCGTGGCAGTAGTTAGTGATAATCCTGTGCAATACACTGTAATCTGTAGAATCAAAGGAGAAATAAGAACACATAAGATATCGAATGGCGATATGAAAAGAATATAAGTACTTATAAACATGCACGTTAATGATCGAATCGGAAGGGAGAATATAGGAAGAACTTGTAAACACTCGATTTGTTTACCTGATTTTCACGTTGGAGCTATCGACTACCTCTCCGTCGCAGTTCCACACGCTCAGGTTCGACTTCATATAGCGGCTGTTAATCTCGTTGTTGGACTGCATGTGCATGGTGGGCATGGCACGAAACGTGAACTCTCTTGCTCTGTACACTTCGACGAATGGTAGATCGTACTGTGCAGGGCAAACAGACGACAAGATCAATCGTGATCTAATTCGTGGACGTGGACAAGCGAAGAAAATTGCATTTGCTTTTAGACGATGTTTGGTAAGTGAGGTCTGTAATGGTATTGTTTTATGTAGGGTGGGAGTTTAGATATCTAGAAATTCGGGAATTTGGAAAATTGGATATTTAGGAATTGGAGTACTTGGAAGTTTGGGAATTTGCAAATGGGAGTTTTAGAAATTTGGAAATTCCGAAATTCGAAATTTTGGGAATTTGAGAGTTTGGAAATTTGGGAATTTGAGAATTTGGAAATTTAGAAATTCGGGAATTTGACAAATTTAGGAATTTGAGTATTTGGAAGTTTGGAAATTTGCAATTGGGAGTTTTAGAAATTTGGGAATTCCGAAATTCGAAATTTTGGGAATTTGAGAGTTTGGAAATTTGGGAATTTGAGAATTTGGAAATTTAGAAATTCGGGAATTTGACAAATTTAGGAATTTGAGTATTTGGAAGTTTGGAAATTTGCAATTGGGAGTTTTAGAAATTTGGGAATTCCGAAATTCGAAATTTTGGGAATTTGAGAGTTTGGAAATTTGGGAATTTGAGAATTTGGAAATTTAGAAATTCGGGAATTTGACAAATTTAGGAATTTGAGTATTTGGAAGTTTGGAAATTTGCAATTGGGAGTTTTAGAAATTTGGGAATTCCGAAATTCGAAATTTTGGGAATTTGAGAGTTTGGAAATTTGGGAATTTGAGAATTTGGAAATTTAGAAATTCGGGAATTTGACAAATTTAGGAATTTGAGTATTTGGAAGTTTGGAAATTTGCAATTGGGAGTTTTAGAAATTTGGGAATTCCGAAATTCGAAATTTTGGGAATTTGAGAGTTTGGAAATTTGGGAATTTGAGAGCTTGGAATTCGGAAATTTTGGATTTTGGGAGTTTAGGATTTTGAAAATTCGACAATTTGAAAATTTGGAAATTTAGAAATTCGGAAATTTGAGAGTTTAAAAATGTGGAAATTCGGGAATTTGAGAATTTAGAAATTCGGAAATTTAGAGACTCGGAGAGTTTTGAGAATCTCGGAGCTTGGAATTCGGAAATTTGGGATTTTGGGAGTTCAGGATTTTGAAAGTTTAGGAGTTTAGAATTTTGAAAATTCAGGACTTTCGTAACCTTGTATCTCCAATACAATTCAATAATTCAATTTTTTTCCAATTTTTCTTAAATTTCACAATTTTTCCACACACCACAGTCTTCTCCTTGCTGGACAACCTCAACAGCATCCTGATATTGTTAAAAAGCGAGGTATGTCGAACCAGGATTACATCTACACAACCATCTCCCACGTGACAATGGGGGCTGAATCCCATAGGACTCTTAGAACAGGCACAGGCGAGATTTGCACCGTTTACCATAAAGAATTTACCCCTGACAGTCATCCATCCTGAAATAAATTGAACAGAATAAAAGAAACATGTGCGAACAGATAGTAAATAGTAATAAAAATTGATTTTCATGAAAATTTCTAACTAACTGGATATTTCTTTATCTGGAACGCTGTTGTGCATATGTTGCAGACACCTGGTGCAGTTTTTTATACATCTTGTGCTGGTAGCCGGATGACAAGGATCAGAAAGAAGCTGAATCTCCCCTTCGTAGCCTTTGTTAGCGAGAATCTTTTTAAATCCTATATGAAAATTGTGTTCGACACTTCAGTAAACATCTTTTGGAGGTATTGGCGTTTTTTATTTAATATAAATGTCCTAAAACTTGCGAGACTTTGTCTACGAACTTGGAATATTGTTAAAAATGTATTGAAATTATGTTATATAGTTTAATATGCGTTTATTTGGAAGTAGTACTGTTTTTTATTTAATAACAATCTTCCAAAACTTGCGAAACTTTGTCGACAAATTCAGATTTACGTTAAAAATGTATTAAAATTATTACGCTGTATAACTCAATGAACATTTTTCACAGATATTTAATTCTTCTATTTAATTAAAAAAAAATTAAAAACCCCTTTAAAAATTGAATTCAAATTACGTTAAGTAAATAAATTATTTTTCAATAATTTAATACCTTCGAACACCTTTTTTTTTAACGAAAATGTGAGAAAATCCGTCCCAAAGACGGTGAAGCCAGGCCCAGCGCGCTCGGTGGGGGTGACTCCGCCCCTTTGGGCCTTTCTCTGGGCCTGTTCGCGTAGGGGAGGACAGGGATCGGCAGGACGACGCGTCCTCACTCTTCCCGAGACCCTCAACGTATACTTTTGCGAGCGACGCCCGAATAACGTGGAGATAGACTTTGAATAAAATATATTATTGCGGAAACGTAGAAACGTTCAATAAATTTTGCGCCCACCCTACTCCGAGTCAGAGTACTTTTCTGACATGTGTATGTATATCTTCTCGAGACAATTGTTTTATTATAAATTTTGTAAGAGAAATCGAGGGCGCCGTCGTGACGGGCATTCGGGCGGCCAGCCCGGATGTTTAGAGTAACAGGAGTAGGCGATATCGGGCCCGAGGACTCTGACGCCACGAGCATCGGCGACGAACCCTCGAGGCCCTTGGCGACGCATTTTTGGCAACGGCGGGACAAAGGGGCTTTCAACAGTCTTTGTTAGAGAGTCGAACGGTGACGTTCTAAACAAGTCGACCCACGCCTTACCAAATAAAGTCTTTACTACCAATTACGCGTCAATTCATTGATTCTCCTTACAATTTATTAATTTTTTTGTATAAATAATATCGCAGCAGTGTCGCGTTGAACAAAGAAATTGTAACATCTGATAAAGCATATGGGAGCCGCAATACGAGCCCCGAAGGGCCGCATGCGGCTTTTTTAGCCACAGTTTGGCCACTACAGTCTAACAGGGAGAGGGCACGGTCGACGGGAAACGGATTTACCTGAAACTTGCAGTATTTGAAGATGTCGTCTCCAAGTTTAATTTGCCAAAGCAGTAGCTCGCGCTTCTCGATATTTACCGAGAAAATTGAAAATCGCTTTACTTGTTTATAAGGAGTTTGCATTCACAAATGAACAACAAGCCTAGTAGCCGAGGACGTCCTAATCAAGTAAGGTCCTGGGTTCGGAAAGCCCCTCGGCATTTGGTTTTTTTTTTTTTTTCAATCGATACCTACCTCAATTTTAAGCGTGAAATTTATGAAATCTGCGCTAATGAACAGTTATTTTTAATTTTAAAATAGAAAATGCATGTTCTGAAATTTTACGCACACTTGAAATTTTAAGAGAATTTTAAAAATTCGATTTTTTGAAACCGTCCGACAGGTGTACCCCCTTAAGACGGGCGATGGTTACTACTGTGTGTCCACGAGAAGATGGCGAGCGGGACGCGACAGGGGCAACGATGGTACTTCACTCGCATTATCCGAATCTTCCGCCACGCAGTGCTGTATGATTCGATTCATCGATGTTATTTTGCGTTCAGTCAATAATGACAATACGTGTGCCTTATTTCTACGATTGTGTTAGAGAAGGTGGGCTTATGAAGGTGTGACCCAATCAGACCCGCATTCCTTTGCCTTGCCATCTTCTCGTGGACGCACAGTACATACATACTTATTTCCATACGTATTGACAAATACGCACCGTTGCCCGAGAAGGAGTGGCTTGTTGCTCGCCGATCACTTTACGCCCGGGGAAGCCTAATACGCTGCCCGTACGGGCAATGACTGAAGAGCACTGACCTATACATCGTTCAAAATAAGAGTAACCTCGCTTGGCGCATGGGAGGTGCCTAAGGCGGGCCTAGAACGTCCAAACCCCCACTTAACCGCCTACGTTTATCTCCGTCTTACCCTCTGCTACGCTCTCCGTCTACTGTTCCAGGCGTGACGCTTTATTTATTTTAACTGCACGACGCACCGTTTGCAACATTGTGCTTTTTTCGCGCAATCGCGCGCGCGACACAAAGTTGCAAAGAGAGAGATCGCGCTTGCAACTAATTTTATCTCTGCAAATCTTTAATATTTTTTCTGGAATGTTCTCTGTATTGAAGTAGTTGAGAACAAACGAATAAGCTGAGACCTTTAACTCAAAAATCTAACTTTCTTATTATTGACTTGTAACGAATGAAATTTTTACCAACATATTCGTCACATTTTTCTGATTAAAATGATACCAAACACGATATAATTTCGAGCATAGTTGCTTACTTAATAAATGATAATATATCCATATAATATGTCAATATAATCCAAATTTTTCGCGAATCGCGCGCTCAACACAAAGTTGCAAAGGGAGAGATCGCGCTTGCAACTTTGTTGCCGCGAACCGTTCTCGAAAAATGCACAATGTTGCAAAACGGCGCGTCGTGCAGCAATGTGCAATTTTCGAGAACACGGCAACAAAGTTGCAAACCCGGCAGCGCGCTTTGCAACATTGTGCTTTTTTCGTGCAATCGCGCGCGCGACACAAAGTTGCAAAAGGGAGAGATCGCGCTTGCAACTTTGTTGCCGCGAACCGTTCTCGAAAAATGCACAATGTTGAAAAACGGCGCGTCGTGCAACAATGTGCAATTTTCAGGAACGTTTCGCGGCAACAAAGTTGCAAACCCGATAAGGCGTTTGCAACAATGTGCATTCGAAAATAATACGAGTTAACGATGTTACAAGCGAGAATGACGTTTGTAAGACGCTTGTAACAATGTTACATTCAAGCGTAGTGCTTGTAATAATGTTTGCGTTCGAAATAACGCTTCTAATAATGTTGCAATCAGAAATAGAGATTCCAACAGTGTTTGCGTTCAAATATAACGCTTCAAGCAATGTTTCATTGAAAAGTAACGAGTATAACAATGTTTTGCATTCGACATAGTGCTTCCATCGATGTTGCATTCGAGAATAGAGACTGCAACAATGTGTGCATTCAAGTTTCAAAGATGAACAGTGAAATAATAGTATCTTGCTACTTAAAAATCACCGTTCAACGATATAAAAGTTCTTTTTCTGCTACTGTAACCGTGTCCCACACCTCCGTCAATTTGCAACCTCAACTCACACGGGAACAAAGGCTCCGCGCAAACAAAACGTCATTATACATTCTCAACATACTTCTCCACCCCTATAAATAACCCCTCTACACTTCGTTCAAAATAAGAGTAACCTCTCTTCGCGCATGGGACGTGCCTAAGACGGGCCTAGAACGTACAAACCCCCACTTAACCGCCTACGTTTTTCTCCGTCTTACCCTCTGCTACGCTCTCCGTCTACTGTTCCGGGTGTGTTGCCTCATATACACGGTGACTTATTTAATTTCGAACACGCACGGCTAGCAACTGTGTTATATAAAAATTGTTTTGCAGTTGTTCTGAACGAACTTGAAGTGTTTATTTAACATGCATGTTATTACTTTTAAAGGTTTTGCTGTTTTTCAAGATAAGTTTATTGCATTAAGAAACTAAAACGACTTGAATGATGTTTGTAATATTCAAAGCACAAAACAATTATTTTAAAATAGATAACATGATATCTCAAGGCAAATCATTTATTTCTTAATGAAAAATCTGGATTACTTGTTCAAAATGTCAAAAATCGCTTCTTGAAACATGCACCCTGTACGACTGTGTGTAATGATTATGGAAGAAAGAAGAAGAGGCATTTAAATTTAGAGAAGCGAAAAGAATAATTTTATTGTATTTTATAACTTTATAAAATAAAAATATGTTTCCTTTTACTTTGTTCTTAAATAAAAGGTTAAAGTTAACAAGTTTAAACGGAAAATTAAAAATGTTTCAAAGTACACAGTGATAATTTTTTATACAGAGATATCTGCCCCCTAATTTTACTCAAGTTTATGACTGAATACACAGCATTATTTACACCTAGCAATTAAGATGATTCTAATGAAATTAGGTACTTTACAGTACGTCTTTTAAGAATTTAAATGATTTTGAATCGTTTCCTAAATATTGATATTTTTATTTTGTCCGGCTAAATTCATACAACTAGCCACTATTCGTCTGTCATAAACCGCTGCGTTAACATGCACACAGTAGGTGCGCATACTTTTAGACCACCGGGTAGATTCTCTCCGCTCTATGCGCCTTTTACGTTGACGTCGCTCTTGGGCCTAGCCGAAACGGCGCTGCGACCAATCGCATGCGTCACATCGGTAGGCAGTAGTGGGAACTGCGCAGAACGGACGAATATCGGTTCGAGAGCGAGGTTACTCTTATTTTGAACGAAGCGTAATAGCTCCCAATATTACCCACCGGTTCGTCCACGATTTCCATAGTGGCTCTCGACGTTAGCTATACACCCAACCCTCCATTTACGCGGTAATTTTTATACGCCAGTTTTTTTTTTTTACGCGGTAAATTATACCTCTATTTACGCGGTACTTTTTTACGCGATCTCATTTTATATCAGATTATCTCATTATTACATATTAGAGAAACGCAAATTCTTACTTGTACGTACTAATTACATAAAACTCTGACCTTTTTTGGTTTTTTTTCTTAACCTCTTGTCCTACGATTTAAGTTTTACAGTACCTACAGATTCTGACACCGAATAAAACTTATTTTGGTTTTCTGAAATGTCATCATTTTTCTTATTAACCTATGCGACTTAAATGTTTTTATAACTTATACATGTCTTTTCTTTTTTTTCATACAAGCAGACTCTATTTACGCGATTTTTATCCGCGTAAAAAGATCAACGCGGAACGGTCAATCCGCGTAAACGAAGGGATGGGTGTACGTCGGTTTGTCCACGGTATCTCATCCAGTGGGTCATGGTGTTAGCCATACGCAGGTTCGTCCGAACCATTCCTATCTACTATCCCGCTTTAACCACAAAGCCAGGCGGTACACGCGCCGCTCCGTATCCGGGCCCTCGCATCGCGTAACAACAAAGTCGGTATGTTACGAGACATTCTTCTGAAGACTCCGAAAATTTCGGTTCCCAGAAATTCCTGGAAAATGACGTCATTTCCAGGAATTCTCGAAATCGGTCGACCTCTTTCACTGTCATATTCGCCTAACACAAAGTCGAAATTTTTCGACAAAATTCGAAAATTTCGGTTCTCGGAAATTCCTGGAAAATAACGTTATTTCCACGAATTCTCGGAATCCTGACTCCTACTTTATTACCATGTTACTGCTTGATACTAATTTGCTTTTTTTCTGGGATGCAGATAATGACAAGGGTAAATGAAGCAGAGCAATTCTTTTCAGTTAAAATATTGATTCTTATTAACTTTTTCAATAAATACACTTGCGTACATAATTTTTTTAATGTACAATAAATATACTTTGTTGCAATATTCATGTTGATTGTTGGCGCATTTTTCTTTCTTGACGTTTCCTGTGAAAGAAAATAAACATATTATTAAAACTGGCTTTTTCAATTATTTATAACTATTACAATGTTCTACGTTAGTGACTCTAATTGTATACTCAATTCTAACACTGGGAACAATGTTAACACTATTTTTCACTATGTAATTAACAAAACTGCACACAACACTAACTGATGAATAATTAAAAAACTGTATACTTACCTGTCTAATTAATTTAATTCGTTCGAATTTCTTAAGTTAAGCAATTTTCCAAAAAAGTACACTCTAGGACTACGTTAAATCATCCATTTTTGTTTTTTTACTTCACTACACAGTTTCACTTGAGACACGTGTAAATCTTTCGAACACTTCCACGAAAGCCTCTCTCTGGTTTTCCACCCTCTCTTCCATAAATATACTCTCTAATTCCATCCATAAATACCCAGTGTTCCTAGAACACTAAAACTGAACTATTCCACCAAAAAAAGAAAAAAGAAACTCGTGAAATGATTCTGCTACTTGAACCTATATTTGAGAAAAACCTAGGAAACGTTTATTGCATGACCGTTTTATAAGTCTGAGTTGGCTATAACCTGTGTTGGCTCTGCTGATGGCACGAGGTTAACTCACAACTACCCCCACTAAATTCGAAGAGAAAAAATGGAAATTAAAATGCACGGAAGACGAATTTTCGTCTTTAACGTTTCGAAACAGAAATTATTTAGAGAAGTAGGTAATTAATCTTGCTTCTATTGTATCGCCGTCTTGAATATTCAGCAAAATAGTGAAACCACTTCAAAGAGTCTATATTACAGAGAATAACCTGTTGCAGATATAAATTGTATCATTATTACACAAAAACTTGTACAATTCTAAACCACGACTAGTCTACACGTAAAAATGACTCATTATCCTACTAAAAGAATTTCAAAAGTCCCAGACCACAGTCTATCTATACGAACGATCTATTATTCTACAAGAAAATGCAAAAAACACACAAAACAGTTCATTCTACGTACACAGTGGTCTATTCTCCCCGCGAGACTACACGGAACACAGAGAAAAAAGAGACCAGACCCCATAAAACCACCACCAACGCACATTTCTTATCGATCCTTCCTCAGCAAAGTAATTTTCTCACCAGAGTAGTCGTATCTCTGAGGACCCATCCAGCGGAACTTTTCACTATCCCGTATCACGTCTCCCAGATAGCCATAACTGAGCATGCTTGCGTACAGCCTGAGCAACGTTTGATCTTTGTGCACCGAGGAGATGTCCAGACCTGTACTTTCGCCGAAAATGACATGTATGGCGGCTGTTTGCACGTCTGTCGTCCCGTGGAGGCTATAAGCCACCGTATCGGTACTTCCGCTGGGAATTACACCGATCGGAAGTCGAGGAGAGGGTAGGGTCGCTTCCGGGTTGTTTGGATCGACCTGGAGCTCCTTCGAGGTCCTCAATACCAGGCCGTTGATAATTTCAGCTAGGGTGCCATCCCCACCGATACACACCACTGCCTGAAGTAAGCAAAGAGGGTTGCATGAGAGTTTGGGACTTTGGGAATTTGAGAAATTGGGAATTTGGGGATGTCGGAGTTTGAGAGTTTGAGACTTTGGAAATTTGAGAAATTGGGAATTCGGGGATTCCGGAGTTTGAGAGTTTGAGACTTTGGGAATTTGAGAAATTGGGAATTCGGGGATGTCGGAGTTTGAGAGTTTGAGACTTTGGAAATTTGAGAAATTGGGAATTCGGGGATGTCGGAGTTTGAGAGTTTGAGACTTTGGAAATTTGAGAAATTGGGAATTCGGGGATTCCGGAGTTTGAGAGTTTGAGACTTTGGGAATTTGAGAAATTGGGAATTCAGGGATTTCGGAGTTTGGGAGTTTGTGAATTTGAGAAATTGGGAATTCGGGGATTCCGGAGTTTGAGAGTTTGGGACTTTGGGAATTTGAGAACTTGGCAATTCGGGGATGTCGGAGTTTGAGAGTTTGAGACTTTGGGAATTTGAGAACTTGGGAATTCGGGGATTTCGGAGTTTGAGAGTTTGGGAGTTTGAGAACTTGGGAATTCGGGGATTTCGGAGTTTGAGAGTTTGGGAGTTTGGGAATTTGAGAACTTGGGAATTCGGGGATTCCGGAGTTTGAGAGTTTGAGACTTTGGGAATTTGAGAAATTGGGAATTCAGGGATTTCGGAGTTTGGGAGTTTGTGAATTTGAGAAATTGGGAATTCGGGGATGTCGGAGTTTGGGAGTTTGAGAACATGGGAATTCGGGGATTTCGGAGTTTGAGAGTTTGGGACTTTGGGAATTTGAGAACTTGGGAATTCGGGGATTTCGGAGTTTGAGAGTTTGGGACTTTGGGAATTTGAGAACTTGGCAATTCGGGGATTTCGGAGTTTGAGAGTTTGAGACTTTGGGAATTTGAGAAATTGGGAATTCGGGGATTTCGGAGTTTGAGAGTTTGGGAGTTTGGGAATTTGAGAACTTGGGAGTTCGAAAATTTAGAAATTTAGGAGAAGAGACGAGAGGAAGGTAGAAAACGTTTGATTAGAATTGCATTTAAAATTTTCCAAGAAGAGAAAGAGTGGTGTTTTACATGAAACATTTCTCGAGAAAACGTCCCAATACAGTTAAGCCTAATCTCTCACATGAAAATCGCTAAGATCAGCGTTCAAGAGGGTATCACGAGCATGACCCATCCTCTCAGTGATCAGCATCTTCGTTTCAATTCCAGCAATAGTCATCAAAGGCTGTACATCCTTCTCCCAAATCTTCAACCCTTTCTTCTTCCCTCCAAAAGGGTTAACGAACAACAAAATCTTCCTTGGACGATGTGTCAATCCTGAAAACCAGAAATGTTCACGTTTAATCTAATAACATCTATTTCGTTGAACATTTCGTTCGAAAACACGACGCGTAGTTAATTCCGAACGTAAGAAATGTATTTTTCTTATGAGTCCAGGATTCTGTTTTCGCAGAAATGTGTCGTACTAAACAGAGAAGCAGATCAATACCGTGACTCTCCCGATAGAATAAAACAGGAGGAGATCTCGTTATACCGGTGGAGAACAGCCTAGTCACCCTGTTGTTTTTCCATTCGACGAATTTTCTCCCTCAAAGGGGACAACGTAATTCGACGAGGGTCGTTTGATTGATTTGAGCGACTGACAAGTTCGTTTACGCGGTATTGATGATATTACGGTGTAGAGCAGGGCTGCTCGGGCAAACGTTGTACTCTGGGCAGAGCTGCGAGCACCGGCCCAAGCATAGTTCTCACTCTTAGCCCGGGCGATCGCTACTTACTAACAATAAGCAAGTACTTCACCTGGAGCGACTTCGTGAGCAGGCCTGGTGTAGAGTAATGGACACTCCTTCACTTTTCATAGCTTTATTTCGTAGAGTGCTGAAAATTATTCGAGCACCCAGTAAATTTTCATAAAAAAATTGTCAGAAAATTTGTTTTAATGTTGCATAAAACGAATTCGACATTTTTCTTCTTAATAAAAACGCTGTTGTCGTTGTTGTTGCTATATTTCGTAAATTTCCATTTAAATACGCTATAAATGCACGCTATGTGTGATAAAAGAAATATTGGGTTGGCAACTAAGTTCCCGCCGTTTTTTAAAATTTTAACATTCCGCATGTCACTAAATGTTTTAAATCATGGGATGTTTTGTTCTACCGGAATTTTCTTTGTTAATTTTCAGCTCCTTAAAATGGAATGTCAAGCTGAGAAAAATGAGCATTTTCGACACCTCCTTCTTTTTGCTTTTAATCAAGGTTCTAAGGTGTCGTATACCTCTCTCCTATCTTTCATTAGTTTTTAGTCATCCTGCCTCCTTTCCTTAACTCTAAACAAATCCGCATCATCTTAACGTTAGTCACCCCGAAACCTAGACCTCCACATCATCCTTTACTTTTACTCATCGCTGAACCTCACCGCCTCTCCCTACATTGACCTCTGAGACCAACCCCTACTCTCGTACTTACCGAACCTATATCTAGAAACCTTTTCCGTCGAAACAGCAGATTTTTGTCTAGTGGTCTTCACGCACCGAACGTCACCGAACTGTCTAATAAAGTCGAATAGTACTACGCGCAGAATAGCTCCCTTATTTCGCCCCAGTTCCCGTCAGGCTCTCCTACCGCGTACCTACTGAATATAATAAACCAACGCAAGGAATCGCGAGCCGCGGAATACAACAAAGGCCGCAAAAGCTGCTCGCGACATTTGTGCCGTGCACGGATAGGGTGCCGTAGCTGAAAGAACCGTTCGTGATTGCTACGCCAAATTGAAAAATGGAAATTTCGACCTCAAAGGCGCACCTCGTTCTGGCCGTCCAGTTGAGTTCGATGAAGAGCGATTAAACCAACTTTTGCACGAAAATTCGCATCAAACGACAAGGATTCTGGCCGTCCAGTTGAGTTCGATGAAGAGCGATTAAACCAACTTTTGCACGAAAATTCGCGTTAAACGACAAGGGAACTGGCAGAGAAAATGGAATGCTCCCACACTGCTACAGAGAAGCATCTTCACTCGATGGGAAAGGTTCAGAAGTGTGGAGCATGGGTTCCGCATGCTTTATGTGACAACAACAAAAATCAACGAGCCACAATCTGGTTGTCAAAATTTCCATTTCTCAATTTGCCATACCAATCACGAGCGGTTCTTTCAGCTACGGCACCCTATCCGTGCACGGCACAAATGTCGCGAGCAGCTTTTGCAGCCTTAAAACCTTGATTAAAAGCAAAAAGAAGGAGGTGTCGGAAAACATCCTCTTTCGAATGATTTCAAACATTTCATGACATGCGGAATGTTAAAATGTAAAAAAACGGCGGGAACTTAGCTGCCAACCCAATATTTAATCCTACACTCGACGAATTTATAATTTCGAAGAAATTCCACTGAATCTTATTCCAATCAATTATCATGCTACTGCTGGATTTTAATTAACTGTGCACACTTTGCAAACAAGATATACCTGTTCGATCCTTCGATAATAATTCCTGATATTTGCCTACGCGGTAAACAATGGAAATTCCAGCGTGAAACGTCAAGTTTTTCCGCCTCGAAGGAACTTTTCCTGGTGACAACGCGGTTCCGTTGAATCCGCGTGACACAGACCTGGTGACCCGCGGTGAAAGTGTCCCAGTCCACTGATAATACATTCTCCATCTCCACCAGCCTATTTTTATCCTCCTGCTCGCCACTGTGCGTAGGTTTCTTGTGAACGCGCCGCTGCAGACCGACTGAGAATCGGTGAAATTGAATTTAAAACAAAGAAACTCCGGAAAGAAAGATTCACGAACCGACGCTTTTATCATTTCTTTATGATACTGCGAAGGAAAATTTCGTTAAGTTCATTCTAGAGAGAGAAAATTACCAGCTTTATTTTTAGCGAAATTTATTTTGGGAGAAGTATAATATTCCTTTAGCATTGTTGCTATAACGGTGATTAACAGGTAGTTGAAATTTCGTTGATATTAAATTTCAAACAACACTTCTTTATTTTATTATATTATTAATAATCTGCGAATTCGTGGAGTATTTGAAAAAATTGGTAATCCGAGAATTCCTGCGCGTTTAATTTTATTTCTTCGACTATAATTCTCAAAGAATCTGGTGAAAATGTCTAAATAGCGCGGACAGCGAAGCGAAAAATTGCAGGTACATGTCGACCCAGACCTTGAGTAGTGAATCGCTGGAGGAATTATTAATCGTCCACGGAACCGGTTCCTCTGGAATAATCTTCGTAAAGGACACTGTTTTCAGGAAACTCGTATTACTACGACGTTTCCACGGACTTTAAACTGCTCGTTTATTCTATTTTTTCCTCTTATTTAATGAACATTCCATCGAACGGATCGAAGATCGTAGTCCGATTGTTGGATAAATTACCACACCTGTATCTGTCTGATGACCATTTCTGGAAAATGTGTTACCTGGTTCCAACGAAGAACGAATGATAGTACAATATCCAATTTATTAATACCATTAACTCGAAGGTAAAGTTAAATTTTATTACAGAGAAGATCGTTTTAAACTCCACGTTACGGAACAGGCCGTAACGGTTGAGATCGCCTTCGTTTCAGGTTTTATTAAATGTTTAGTTCGAACGGGTGTCGTTCTAGGTGTACGGTTTTACACTATCTGTCGACCTTTTTCTTTTCTTTTTTGAACAGGCAGCGCCTGTGTAGATTTTTGCTTGAATTTGGTGTAGAGTCACCTGGCGTAAATCCGCCCTATACTCTAAAAGACTTTGGAGACATTAGGTATCATAAAAAAGAAATTTGGTAATTAAAAATGAAGTCGAAGTCGTGCAGAAACACTATCTGTCGACCTTGCGCAGGTACGTCGGTTTTGTACTAGTTTTGGCACCTTGCTTCCGACCAATCAACGGTCAGGAAAAGGGCCTGGAGTCGAGCGTCGCTTCATGGGTTCTTCCCGACTTCGCTCCCTTCCTACCCGTGGCGGTTGCTTGGCGTTTTGGTTTATAATTGTAAAGATGTTTGGTTGTGATAATAATAATAATGTTAATAAGAATATTATAATAGAATTTAATTACAGTAATGTTAATAATGATACAATAGTATCTGTTAGATTTATCAGTGAGTTAGATATGTCGAATCCTCATCCCTTTGTCCCTCGTCTCCCATGCATACAGATCCTTATCCCAGGTACAGTTTCGACAACTACCTGCGCGTTTTCCACTTTCCCACCGAATTCCTGTCCTATCAAACTGATGCGCTCTACCCATTTCTTTTGTACCGAATCCTTAAGTTCATTACCGAACCATTGTCCCTGCAATTCTTCTCCCGTACCATCGAACCCTCAATCCTAACGAGTCCTGATCATTATTGTTAGAAAAGTCCAAAAAGCGAAGGCTTGAGTGGGCCATGTGCAGTCTTCTGCTGCGTTTCCCCCTCCTAGGGATAGTTTTGCCTCAAGGCTAAGAAAGGCCATATTGTCAAGGGGGTCCTCTTGACTAGGTTTTTTCAGGAAGGACAGAATTGTATCAGCACTCGTGCAGTATAGTTCAAAATACAAGGATTCACCCTGTTTAACCGCCCACGTTTATATTTTATTCCACCGCTCACCACCGTTATCCTGACCGTTTTTACCTTACATTATCCTTACACATTCCTGGTCCTTACCTAACGAACGCATTCCTAAATTCCCCCACCCGCAACTCCCAAAAACCCCAATATAAAAGCAGCCTCGAAAAAGGACGAAGGGCAGTCAGCATTGCATAACAAGGAAGTTTAGACCGTACAATGTATATATCCGCAAAACCAACAGTGTAAAGAAAACTTATCAACAAATAAAGATAATTCCTAAAATCCACCGTCTAAAGTGAATCGACGACAGATGTAACAGAAATTAATCTAACGCCTTACTAGGAAATGTATATTACTTTTGTATACGTTCGGAGAAATCCGTTTAGCCTTACCACCTCTGTTTAGTAAAGATCTAAATGTTTGTGATACGTGACAAGAGGCCGGGGTCGTAGGCAATATACAGTGCACTTACCATCAAGTAGAAAAGCGAACCTTCCTTGTGTCTAATAAAAGTTTATAGTTTAAAATAAGGATTATTAATTATTTAACAACCAATAACTCCCATAATCCATAATAATGATAATATTATAATAGTATCTGATAACAATGTGTGGGAGAAAGGCAGTGGGATCGTAGCACTCCATTAAATTAATTCGTAGTTACCTAAAGTGTTTAAAACATTGATCGCTCGAGTATGTGGAAAGTTTCATTTGTCAGTAGTGGCGGGTAATGGATTAATAGTGTGAAATTGGTACTTTAAGAAGAAAATATTCCAAGCTGCAAGTAAGCCAGGTACTCGAGAATCTTGCAAAACGTGGACGATATTTGAGAAATCCTTGGAAAAAATTCTCAAGTATACTCCCGCCTGTCGTACTCCCTTCAACCTACGTAAAGACACGTAACAAGTAATAGCGCAATTTCAGCAAGGTTAATTCGAGCCTCTTTGCCAACACTGCAAGCTATAACACGATCTGAAAACTCGCATAGGTCGATGTGAAACGCTTGGAATAAACTTTCAACCTGAATAACAACAATAATTATCCACCGGTTTGATCCGGCGAGAACGGGAATTTCACGGAAGAGGTTCGAAAGAAGAGGTTTATTTCGAGAATCGTTATAAATAACCGTGAAAACCATGGCGAAGAGGGAAGTTCGTACGTCAATCACCATTGGTGGCCTGTCGGTGAAAAATGCACGAAACAAAGAGGCTGGGCTATTTAGACTGCAGAAATTGCACGTGTCGACTTTTATTTGTTGAATGAGGATGACGTAAAAGGCTCAGGTGCTGTGAGAAAGAGCCGTAGGCGCAAGCAAGAGGAATTTCGCAAGGTGATCGCGGGGCTTGTCGAGTGTTCGCAGCAGCCTTGTCGATGGAATACTGCTTCTTGATTAGTCCCTAATTACTTGAAATTCTGGATATCGAGAGAGGAGAGGGGTGAAGGTTGCAATTAATGGAAACTGCAAAATTAATGAAAATTCAAGGGAGTGGGATTCGAGGTGAAATCGCAGAAGGAAAAAGGTTGCGAGAAAATTGTGGATTTCTATGGAGTTGAATGAATGCCGGTGGAACTATGGAATATTACTTCTTAATTGCTTGAAATTCTGGATATCGAGAGAGGAGAGGGGTGAAGGTCGCAATTAATGGAAACTGCAAAATTAATGAAAATGCAAGGGAGTGGGATTCGAGGTGAAATCGCGGAAAGAAAAGAATCGGGAGAAAATTGTGGATTTCTATGGAGTTGAATGAATGCCGGTGGAACTATGGAATATTACTTCTTAATTGCTTGAAATTCTGGATATCGAGAGAGGAGAGGGGTGAAGGTTGCAATTAATGGAAACTGCAAAATTAATGAAAATTCAAGGGAGTGGGATTCGAGGTGAAATCGCAGAAGGAAAAAAGTTGCGAGAAAATTGTGGATTTCTGTGAAACTTGAGAATTTAATAAAATTGGGGAATAAAAGAAGACTAGAATTTCTGAATTATTTATTAAATGAGACAGAATTCCTGTACATTAAACGGTTATTTAATAAAAAAATGTAAAAAGTGGCATGCAGCGGTTGAAAAATAGAAGTTTCATCGATTATTCTTAATTGAGAGCATTTCAAATCGTTACCAGAATGAAAAAGGAAGAAATTTTAGAAGCGAAACATCGCTCAAATTGAACGATTCGAAGAGTAAAGCGGAATTTCTTCACTCCTCGGTATCCTTTTTCCCCGTGCCAGCAAAAACGTGTCTTAGCCAAGCAGCCTTGATCCGTAACCAAAGACCTAGTTCCACCATGCACCGCGATTAATCCTTTCTACCCGCTCGCCACGGTATATCACGCGAGTTTATTATATCGAAGAAAAATTTTCCACAAGGACAATTTTCGGACCTCCTTTTCACAGACTAATTCCATGCAAATTTACTAGAAATATCATTCGACAACGAAGAAAAGATAAAAAGTAGATAAACAATTCTAACGCTCGAACGGAAATTTGAAGAATTGCAAATAAAAAAATACGACTCGAAAAGAAGAAAATTAAGTTCTATACACAAAAGTGCCTGATAAAATATTGAAAATTCTTGGAAATTGATAGAAAATCGAGGAACAAAATAAGCGATTCGCTGTCCAAAGGCGATGACTTTAATGATCGATACTCGTTCAATTATTTAAACCTAAACCGTTCCCCTGCCAGGAATAGAAAGGAAATAATAGCAGCCACGGTTCAACTTTCACCTACTTTTCCTTTATTTCGTGTTTTCACGCGTGATATTGTTAGCCTAATCGATCGAGCTCGGGTATATACAGTGGAGGACAAAAGTATTCATACACCCTATAAAATGGAATACCTTTTCTAAAATTGGGCCAAACGACTTGAGTTTTTTTTTGAGAAGCTAGAAAAATTTTTTTGAAAAAACTGCAATTAGTCGGAATCGCGAAGAAAACAGCGAAGGTCGTTTTTACAATTTTTTTATCTGAGCTCGTAATGAAAATTTAAAAAATACGTTTTGTAGACCTGTGTCAATTATACACACGCTGAAAATTTCATCGAAATCGGTTAATGTTGCTATGAGCTACAAACGGTTAAAGATGGTGAAAATCGCACTATTATACATTAATAAATCTGCAGATTCTTACATCTTTCGATGCCTGTCGCTTGTTTCTCCATCCACCGATTTCGATGAAATTTTCAGCGTGTGTATAATTGACATAGATCTATGAAACGTATTTTTTAAATTTTCATTACGAGCTCAGATAAAAAAGTTGTAAAAACGACCATCGCTATTTTCTTCGCGATTCCGACTAATTGCAGTTTTTCCAAAAATCTTTTTACACGTCATCTAGTAAACTAATCTTTCTAACTTCTCAAAAAAAAACTCAAGTCGTGTGGCCCAATTTTAAAAAAGTTATTCCATTTTACAGGGTGTATGGATACTTTTGTCCTCCACTGTATGTAGGTACACACGTACTTACTTACTTCGTTCCGCTACTGTTAACTCTTCTCTCTATTCAAATAGGAGAGGAATTCATAACACCAAAGTGGAACTCCCTTTTTATACGATAAACAAGAAATTGGATGGAAATTGAGATTCTATTCGAGCAGAAGAGAAATTCGACGAAATTTCACCTCGTAGATCTTCCCTGTTTGCTCGACTCGACGATTAAAAGTCAGTTACAGCGTCGTGAAACGACTCTATTGAGCCGTCAACGAGACGTGAAATAGTTCCAGGTTATTACTTATCCGAGTTGCTTGTTACGGAACAGATAACAGCGAATCCTCTTTAGATTACGCGTTCTTTAAAAATATACGTGTGTTAGTCTGAGTGATATCTTGTGGAACTTTTCGCAACGTGTCAACGACCGTTATATATTACTCCATTTTTTTCTCTAAGTTATTTTGAAAATTTGGTTCAATTAATTCTTCGCTATTTAAAGTATAATTCAGCCTTGTAATCAGTTACTGTATATCAAACACTGAACAAATGAGAAGTTCCTACCTCAATATCCCTCTTATAGAAAATTGCAAAGTCTTCAATATTAAGTTCACAATTCATAATAAAATTCTCAGCTCCCTCGAGTTGTAGAAAATGGAAAGAAATTCAATACTTGAGTGAAAAGAAACGAATCGAATCGAAGCTTTCAATTTTCAATATTAAATTCGTAATCCATTTCGAACTAAATTCAAACACTTCGAATATTCTAATTATCCGAATAAAGAATTCTTATTGGAAATTATCCGAATTATTTGAATAAAGAATTTATTTAACCCTTATGTCGATAACCACAACTGTCGTCTACTTAATCGTCCAATTTTAGTAGTTTTCTGATAACAAAATTCTAGACTTAAGGCAAACAGTGATAGGAAATGTGCGAAATAACAACGATCTGGCCGGACATTTCAATCTTTTACCTGGAAGATCAAATATTTTAAGTGAGAATTATGCACAAGGGTACCCGAGTACCCGGTGATCGGCATAAGGGTTAAATAGTTCGACTCTTCGAACTTGCACAGCCGTACTACCAATAACTCGAAAAGCAATCGAACGCACAAAATTTCCAATCTACCTAAAAGTCGCAAAGTCTTCCTGATGAAAGAAGAAACAAGGAAGCTTCTTAATTGCCTCGATACATCTTCCTACACGTGAGAAATTTGCAAGAAATTCATTCCCCATTTCGTCCCACGGGAAAGAAGATTCATCAAGAAAGTAATAAAGAAGAGTGAAGGAAGCTGTTAGACTCACCCATGAGGTAATTCCGGATGGTCTTGACCCAAGAGGCGACCTGCCTGGGGTCGGTGTGGCTCATCGTGACGCTGTGATGGCTCCATTTGTTTTTTGGCCCTCGTACAGCGTAATGAAGAATAAAATTCGTCGGACACACAGTGGGTGAGGTAGGTGACGTAGGTGGCTGCTTTTCCTTGACGTTCACACCGGGTATCCAATCATCTCCGTAACGCACCGCGAGCACGTCCGTCATTGGTAGTGTCCATCTTGCTGGAAATAGACATTTCGAACACGTTAGTTTCGAAAAATCAGTATACAAAATTTACAGAAAAGGAAAAGAAATAGTCTTTTATTCTTGTGATATGCTATTTATTGACGGACTCGGAGGAAACGTCTTTACGCTATTGAATGTTCTAAAGGACTGTGTCTGGGCACCCAAAATGAAAGCATATGCTATTTATTGACGGACTCGGAGGAAACGTCTTTACGCTATTGAATGTTCTAAAGGACTGAGTCTGGGCACCCAAAATGAAAGTTGGAGTCCCCTTGTACCTAGGAACTGTTTACTTTATGGTATCGCATTGTGCAGTGCGTGACTCGAAGACGGACACCAGACACATCTGGTGGAAGTCTTAGTGCCTTTGTTTAAAATAACGCGGAGACATTTTTGTCCTCGCTTGATTATTTCCATAGGGTTGTAAGAAATGCGAGATTTCGGCGGCGAAGTGGTGGCCTGGACTTTGTCGCCCAGGAAGAGAAATCGCGCGGGTACCTGAGGGTGCTATAAACTTAAGCCCTTTCCCCGGAAAGTCGAACGAGAGGGCTCCAACAGTTTTTCGGAGCAACGCGGGATACGACGCGGAGAGGACACTGTTGGAAATAGCCGTCGAGCGAGACGGACACCGAAGCATTTAGCAGTCGTTTATCACTACACTTTAATACATTTTTGGTTAATACCCTATCCTGTGTTAAATCTACTTAAGTTGTGCTAACAGGGTGTTGTTAGAAATGATCCAACAGTGTCTAAACTAGGTGTGTAATCTATTTTAAAGTCTGTACCTAAAATAAATGTGAAAATCTGTGTATTTACAGTCAAGGACAGAAACATGTGGACACGCTTCAACACAGAATAACTTTTTTTTAAATTCAACCAAACGACTTGAGCTTTTTTGAGAAATTAGACGTATTAGTTTACTAAACGATGTGTAAAAAGAATTTTGAAAAAATTCCAATTGGTCGGAATCGCGAAGAAAATAGTGTAGGTCGCTTTTAAAATTTTTTCAATTTGTTTCGTAGATTTATGCCAGTTATATACATAGGGTAACTGTGCATAATATGAAACACCGTAATATTAGAATGTAGAATATACCTACCAGAGAAACTATCATAATGAAAAAAAAAGGACGCATCTTCTATAAAATATAAAAAGTGTTTCAGGAAATTTCAAGGGCCTGGCGTGTACCACAAACATTTTTTCGCTTAGATGAAATTTTTCAAACTGACTATTGGCCAGCCAAATCAGCCATTTGGACCACTGTGCGATGGTTCGTTTCTTGCGTCGCAGGCATTAGCACGTAAAAGAATTCGGAAATACAGTAAATTCTCTACAAGTGTCAGTCAGTTTGGATTCTACAAGTGTCAGTATAGATGGTCCTACGCCTAGGTCTGCATCATTGCTGCGCCTATGTTATCTCGCTCGTTGTCAGTCAAGCGTGTAACGCTACACTCATAATAGAAAAATATAATTTCTTTAATTTTACTTTTTTTCATCTGAAATGTTTTTTAACATGTTGGTGAGATTTTTCTGATGAAAATGGTATCAAACACGATATAATTTGAACAACGTTTACTTATTAACACGTTCACTGTCTGGCGTGACAAGGATAAAAAAACGTAAAATTAAAAAAGTTGGTATTTAAATCGCTTGGTCGCCTCGACTCACGTCTCATCCTTATCTTTTATTCGCTGTCCTTGTCTACGTTCGGCAAACTACAAAGGTGGGCGCGAGGCTCGAAAACGTAGTCCCTGACTCTACAAGTGTCAGGTTTAGCTTCCTTGCGGACTGACACTTGTGGAGAATTTACTGCATTGATAATACATTTATCAACGTTTTCCTTAATTTAAATTTACATTATTGAACAAACTGCTGAAAGTGGCTTCCGCGTTAACGTATACAAATCCTTGCTCTTTGAATCAGAATCGTGGACAGGTCGTGCAGTATTTTGATGCTTTAATTGTCTGAAACGTTGTACGATTTTTTCGTTCAGCTGTAGATTTACACTATCTTTTGCGACCACCCTTTACTCGCTTGTACCACCAGTTACGCGACACCCTGTATAAAGTTAGAAATCAAACTGTACAATAAGTGAGAAGAAAGTGAAGAATGTTTTATCAGAATATTTAAAATTTTCGAAAAAGCAGTAGATGAGTGAAAGACACCGGGGACGAAGGATTCACTTAACAATAGCAATAATGTCGAGAAAAAATTTGTCACCAACTTGCTCAAGAATAAAAATTTCAATGTTACCTGTCATAACAGTTGGGAAAGAAACAAGTGTAGAGCGAGCTAGAAAGGCAAGAGACAAAGCCTCACTCGGTGTAGTTTTCTAATAGCCGCCGTTTAATATTACAACAGCGTAACGACGACAAAGCCGCGCCGAACGAACCGTTCAATTGTTTTGCATAATTGAACGTCTAGCGATACGTCTATTTATCTTACAATTTAGATCGATCATCTCTACGCTAAAAGGAAGAAAGGAAAGAGAACGTCTTCCATTTCACGATTTAATTTTATTCTCAGATTAAAATATTTAAAAACATATACTCGAGTAGATAACAACTTTATAACATATTAATCGATCGAAAAGAAATCTAATCGATTTCATTTCGTATTAAGATATTTTCGCCCGAGATATAAATTGCAAAAATGAAGCTTATGTTCTGCGAGGTTTATTTTAAAAGAGATTACCTTATCCCAAAGGATTTCACTGTACGAAGATTTTCGAAGAATTTGCCAGGGAGTGACTTTGAAGCCATGTTAGTCTCCTTTGTCGGTGGATCGAGGCGAAAAATATTCAACGAGCAGATAACCGAAGGATAATCGGACGTGATACCGGCACAAGAAGCTCGAGTGAATCGTTCGACAGTGTGCAGAGTCGATAAGAAGTCGCGACGTTCCCGAAGCTGATAACAGTCTGGCGATTTCGGTTGCAATTTCCAATTCCGATAGAAGCATTCGTCTATTTCCGTGGACACTTTTAGTGAGCAATTTCGAATGATACAGTTTTTCACAATTTTTACAAGCAATTTTGTCGATATTACTCTTAAAGTATTTGAAACTTGTTTAATATTCTTTTGAAAATATTTACGATACCTTTTGCAAATTTTTAAAGACACTTCTACGAAGAAATTTCTAATTTTTTTAGAGACTTTCTGGTATTTCTTTGGAACATTTCTTGAATTCCTTCGAGAACTCTAATGTAATAATGTGGTAAAAAGTTTTCTAATACAATTTTTCTGAACCACTTTCCTTACAAATGACCTAAATGTTACTATCGACGAACGAGACAGCTGTCATTCCACACGATGTCGCATATATACGTGTCTTACAAGTACGCACTCGGTTCGAACGAACTTGAAGCAAGTAGATAACGTGATTACGTAATTGATAACAGGCAACGGTACAATGCTCACGGTACAACTGTACTCGATCGGTTTTCATACACTTTCGAAGTCTGCGAAGTCTGAAGTTCTTCGCGACTGGAAATAGATTATACACATACTATGCAAACAGAATCTTTCGAGACACCTGAAGCATGTGAAAAATACTGGGAATAGGTCTGGCGAGATAAGATGATGAAAAGTGCCCTTGGACCAATTAGCTCGTACGATGTACCATTCGAAAGCTCTGGCTCGACCTAGGGGATAGTTACAAGGTGGTTTATATTTATAATTCTGTGAACTATTTTCCCTATTCAGCGGTAGGGAAAAATTTTGAAAAAAATCTGCCACGTTGCGTATATGAAGGCACGCGTTAGAGAATTTTTTCCGATTTTTTCTATGCAAATCCTAGTTGTAAAAAATAGAAAACGTAAACAAAAGCGGGTATCTTTTGAAATATTCAAGCGACTACTTTTACGCCCACGTAGTAGCAGCATCTTAACGTAACTATTATCCTCAAATTTTTTCAGATTTCTTGGTAAGGCGCGCCGTAGTTTATTTATTATTTTCTTTATTCGGTGCGTATATTACGCGAGCTTAAATATTTTTACATTTGAAAGAACTATAAATTAAAGAAGTTGAATTAGCTCAACTAATGAAAATTACCATATTTCTTTATATTCTAAAATGTCCACACTGTTTCTAATAGTGTCGTTGGCGCAGCGGCTAAATATCTGACTGGAGAACCGCTGGAAACTTCTTTAATTTATATAATATACTGTTCTTGCGTAATGCACGTACTGAATAAAAAATTTGTTCTTAATTTTTTTTAATTACGGCGCACCTTACCAAAAAATTTGAAAAAAATTGAGAATAATAGTTACGTTAAGATGCTGCTACTAGATAAATATAAAAGTAGTCGCTTCAATATTTCAAAAGATATCCGCTTTTGTTTACGTCTTACATTTTTTACAACTAGGATTTGCAACGAAAAAGTCGGAAAAAATTCTCTAACGCGTGCTTTCATGTACGCAACGTGCCAGATTTTTTTCAAAATTTTCGCCTACCGCTAAATAGGGAAAATAGTCCACAGAATTACGAACATGAACCACCCCCTAGGTCGAGAGCCAGAGGGTTGAAAGTTGATGTCAAATGTTTTCTTACGGTGAGCTTTCGAATGGTATATCGCACGACCTAATTGGTTCAAGGACACTTTTCACCATCTTATCCTGCTAGACCCTTTTGCAGCGAAAAGCGATACCATAGTAAAAGCTTGAAAATATTTTCTAAAACTTTCACGTATTCCAAAATTATTCTACACTACTTACGATTGTGAGATTAATCCAGATTCTGCAATTTCGAAAATTTCCCAAAACTCGATTAACCCTTTGACAATTTTCTTTAATTTTCTTTCACTGTCCATACAGCATTATCCTTGCTATCGTGGCAAAAACGTGAGTTTCGGTATTATAATTAATGGGAAATTTATTTCTGTACGTCTAGGAAATAATTTAAAAAAGGCCAAATTATTTCTATAATTTTTGAAAATTTATTTCTGCACGCCTAGGAAATAATAATTTAAAAAAAAATGACAACTGATCGGGGCACGT